ATTTGCCTATTAAGTCTCTCTTTTAGGCTCTCTTTTAGTCTTCTAAATAAACAAGGCTTTCCTCCCAGTGGTTACCTTTGGTTATACGCACCTAGCCCTGGAAGTGGAAAGTAGAATGTATTTTTTACTTTATTGCAGCATAACAAATGGCTTGAAACTTACTGGCTTTAACAACAATAAATACTTAATATTTCATATGGTTTCTGTGAGTCAGGAATTCAGGAGCACTTTTGCTTAGTGGATTTGGCTCATGAAATTGCGGTCAGAAAGTTGTCTACAGCTGCAGGCATCTGAAGGCTTGACTGGGGCTGAAGTATGTGCTTCTAAGAAGAGCTCATTTACACGGCTGGAGGGAGGCCATAGTTCCTCACCTTGTGCAGTCCTCCTCAGTACTGCTTGGGTATCCTTACAACATGGCAGCTGATCCAAAGGAGGACAGGGAAGAAGCTGTCGTGTCTATAATTACTTAGCCTTCAAAGTCACACACTGTTGTTTATGCAGTATCCTCTTGGTCATCCTTATTCAGTGTGGGAGGAGACCACATAAGTCTGTACTAGGAAGTGAGACTCATTAGGGGCTATCTTGGAGACTGGCTGCTACACAGAAAAACAAGAGATGATAGTTGGCATCTTATGTATATTTTTATTGTCTATCTGGGAACTTTTATTCTCTAAGGCCAAGAATCATGCCTTGTCTTTACAGTACAAGAATCCCTAGAGCTGGTATGTAGTTGGGAAGGTTGAGAAATACAAATGACTCTTCGTCTACTCCATTTTGTGCCGTCCTGCTCAGAAGCCTGAACTCTGAAGTTCACTCATATTTTCACATTGTGATTTCCTAAGGTCCTCTCCCCATCCCTGAGTGGAAAAGATTGAGGACAGCTGGATCTGGTCATAGTCATTAGCCAGCTCTTAACAACCTTTCTTTCCATGATGTTTATTTTTCTTCTCTGAGAAATAGTCATTCCTCCTTATGGTTTTCTTCAAATACATTTCCTGTCTTTTCCAATCTTTTTTTTTTAAAAGATTTTATTTATTTTAGAGAGAGAGAACACAAGTGGGAGGAGCAGAGGGAGAGGGAGAATCTCAAGCAGACTTTACACTGAATGCAGAGCCTGACACAGGGCTCTGTCCCATGATCCTGAGATCATGACATGAGCTGAAACCAAGAGTCAGACACTTAACCAACTGACTGTACCAACCCAGGCACCCCCTATCTATGAACATTCTAATTCTATTATGGGGCAGTTTCCTTTTAATTAAACTTTATTTTGAGATAACTTTAGTTTCATAGGTAGTTGTAAAAATAATACAGAGATCCCATATACCCTCTACTAGTGTCCCCCCAGTGGTCACATCTTCCAAAACTATACTACAGTATCACAACAAGAATGTTGGTATTGATACAGTCAAGATCCAGAACACTTCCATCACTATAAGAATCTCTCATACCACCCTTTTATAGCCATACTCACATCTGTCCTACTCCAAGCCCCTTCTTAACCACTGACAACCACTAATCCATTCCTAAATTCTACCATTTCAAGAATTGTAGGTAAGTGCAGTTGTGCAGTATGTAGCCTTTTGGGATTGGCTTTGTTGACTCAGCATAACTCTCTGGAGATGCATTCAAGATTTTGTGTGTGTCAGTACTTCTTTTTTTTTTATTGCTGAGTAGTAGTCTATGGTATGGATATATTACAGTTTACTTAGCCATTCTCTCATTGAAGGACACTTAGATTGTTACAATTTGGAGCTCTTATAAATAAAACTTAAACATCCATGTACAAGTTTTTATATGAAATAAATCTTTATTTCTCTGGATAAATAGGAGAGCAATTGCCGAGGTATATAGTAGTTGCATGTTTAGTTTTTTAAGAAATGGCCAAAGTAGGGGTGCCTGGGTTGCTCATGTGTTAAGTGTCAACTCTTGATTTCGGCTCAGGTCATGATCTCAAGGTCATGAGATCGAGCCCTGTGTCGGGAGAGCTCTCTCTCCCAAAAAACAAAACAAAACATTTAAACAACAACAAAAAAAATGGCCAAATTGTTTTCCAGGGTGGCTGTATCATTTTAGATTATTACCAACAATGTTTGACCCATTTTCTCTGCCTCATTACCAGCATTTTGTGTTGTTACAATTTTTTATTTTAACCATTCTGATAGGTCTGTGATAAGATCTCATTGTGTTTTAATTTGTGTTTCCAGAATGGCTAAAGCTATTGAGCATCTTTGCATGTGCTTATTTACCATCTATATATTCTCTTTGGTGAAATATCTTTTCATGTCTTTTGCGCTTGTCCTAATTGGATTGTTTGCCTCTTTTAACTGTTGAATGTTGAGAGTTCTTTATATGTTCTAGATACTATTCTTTGTTGAATATGTGGTTTGCAAATATTTTCTCCTACTCTACAGCTTGTCTTTTTATCTTTTTAAAATTTTTATTATTTAAGTATACTTGATATACAGTGTTATTAGTTTGAGGTGCACAACATAGAGATTTGACAATTCTATACATTATGCAGTGTTCATCATGATAGTGTAACTATCTGTCTTCATACAACATTATTACAGTATTATTGACTATATTCCCTATGCTGTACTTTCATCTCTGTGACTTATTTATTTTTATGTCTGGGAATTTATACCTCTTTATCCCCTTCAGCTATTTCACACATTTCTCCCACTCCCCTCCCCTCTAGCGACTACCAGTTTGTTCTCCACATTTATGAGTCTGTTTCTGCTTTGTTGTTATTGTTGTTTGCTCCTTTTGATTTTTAGATTCCACCAGTAACTGAAATCATATGGTGTTTGTCTTTCTCTGACTAACTTATTTCATTTAGCATAATACCCTCTAGGTCCATACGTGTTGTCACAAATGGCAAGATCTCACTCTTTTAATGGGTGAGTGACATTCATGTGTCTGTGTGTTTGTGGGGGGGGGTGTCTGTGGGTGTGTACACCACATCTTTATTCATTCATCTGTTAATAGACACTTGAATTGTTTCCGTATCTTGGCCTTTGTAAATAATGCTGAAATGAATATAGAGGTGCATATATATTTTTGAATTAGTGTTTTCAGGGATTTCGTGGGGGGGGGGCAGTAAATACCCAGGAATGGAATTACCAGATCATATGGTATTTCTATTTTTAATTTTTTGAGGAATCAGCATACTGTTTTCCACAGTGGTTGCACCAGTTTACATTTTCACCAACCTTTGTGCACAAGGATTCTTTTACATTGGAAGGATGTAACCCTTGTGCACAAGGGTTCCCTTTTCTCTGCATCCTCACCAACACTTGTTATTTCTTTTAATAATAGCCATTCTGACTGGTGTGGGGTGATAGCTCATTGTGGTTTTGATTTGCATTTCCCTGATGACTAGTGATGTTGAGCATCTTTTCATTCATCTTTTAGCCATCTGTATGTCTTCTTTGGGAAAATATCTACTCAATCCAAAAAATTGGATTTTTTTTTGGCCATTGAGTTGCATAAGTTCTTTACATACTTTTTATAGTAACCCTTTATCAGAAAAATCATTTGCAAGTATCTTCTCCCACCCAGTAGATTGCTTTTTTGTTTTGTTGATGATTTCCTTAACTGTGCAAAAGCTTTTTATTTTGGTGTAATCCCTCTTGTTTATTTCTGCTTTTGTTTCCCTTGCCTGAGGAAAAATAACCATAAATATATTGCTAAGGCTGATATTCAAGAGACTACTGCCTTTGTTTTCATTTAGGAGTTTTATGGTTTCAGGTCTCATATTTAGGTCTTTAATCCATTTTGAGTATGGTATAAGAAATTTCATTCTTTTGCATGTAGCTGTCCATTTTTCCCAACACCATTGATGAGAATATCTTTTCCCCATTGTATATTCTTGCCCCCTTTGTCATAGGTTAATTGACCTTATAAGCATGAGTTTTTTCCTGGGCTCTCTATCCTGTTTGATTGATCTATGTGTTTATTTTGTGCCAGTACCATTGTTTTGATTATTATAGCTTTGTCGTATATCTTGAAATCTGGGATTGTGATGCCTCCAGCTTTGTTCTTTCTCAAGATTGCTTTGACTATACAGGGTCTTTTGTGGTAACATCCAAGTTTTAGTATTATTTGTTCTAATTTTGTGAAAAATCCTTTTGGTATTTTGATAGGGACTGCATTGAATCTGTCATTTGCTTTGAATAGTATGGACATTTTAACACTGATAATTTTTCCAGTTCATGATCACGATAGATCTTTCCATTTGTATCATCTTCAATTTCTTCCATTACTTTCTAATAGTTTTCAGAGTATAGATCTTTTGCCTCCTTGGTTAAATTTATTCCTATCTTTTTTTTTTTTTTTTGGTGCAATTGTAAATGGGGTTGTTTCTTAATTTCTCTTTCTGCTACTTCATTATTTGTGCATAGAAACACAAGAGATTTCTTTATTTGTGCATAGAAACACAACAGATTTCTATATATTAAATTTTGTATCCTGCAACTTTACTGAATTCATTTATCAATTCTAATAGTATTTTGGTAAATTCTTTAGGGTTTTCTATGTGTAGTATCATGTCATCTGCAAATAGTGAAACTTTTACTTCTTCCTTACCAATTTGGATGCCTTTTATTTTTCTTATCTGCTTGCTGCCAACTAGGACTTCCAGTACTATATTGAATAAAAGTGACAAGAGTGGACATCTGTGTCTTTTACCTTATCTTAAAGGAAAAGCATTTAGTTTTTCACCATTGGTATGATGTTAGCTGTGGGTTTTTCATCTATGGCTTTTATTATGTGGAGGTATGTTCCCTCTAAACCAACTTTGTTGAGAGTTTTTATCATGAATGGATATTGAATTTTATTAGGTGCCTTTTCTGCATCTATTGAGATAACTATATGGTTTTTATCCTTCATTTTGTTAATGTGATAAATCACATTGGTTGATTTGTGGATATTGAACCATCCTTACATCCCTGGAATAAATCCCACTTGATTGTGGTGAATGATCCTTTTTTTTTCCCCTCACTGCGTTTGATCAGGTCTTTATTCAAAATTTGCTGTCCAAAATGATTTGACTTTTATGGAATAAACAAATTTAAGTTTTTACGCAGCAGGCTTCTTTTCTTCCGTGGTGGGTTTCTTTTCTGCAGTCTTCTTCTTGGCTGCTGGTTTCTTGGTAGCTGCAGGCTTTTTTCCCACCAAAGGTTTCTTCTGCTTCTTAACACCAGCAGCCTCCTTTCGTTTCTTCCCTACCACAGGCCTCTTGCCTGGAACCCCTTTCTCATATGATTTGGCTTCTAATTTGCCTTATCCATCCGGAGTTTGTGATTCTTGGCCTGGCAAAGAATGGTGTTCTGGCACATGGACTTTGCATATGGGTTTAACTTCAACATGATTCTCAGATTTTTCAGTGGTTTGTTCTTCAGGACTCTGTGATGAATCTTCTTGCATGGTGCTCAGAGGGCTCTTTGGATCTCTGGGCTTTTCAAGATTCTGCTAAGGTCTGTATTAAGCATCTTATGCATTGAAAGGTTGTAGTTACTCTTGAGGGAGGCAGGCTTACACCATATCTGCCATACAGATCATCTAACTTGCAGAAAGCACTTTCAGTCCAAATGCAGAAATATGGCATGTGCTCACCAGGAGCAAGTTAAAAAACGCTGTTTGGTTACATTAAGTAAAGTAATTCCAGGGATGTTTCTGAAGGCCTTGATGATTCCGTTGCCCTCATTATAGATGGTGTAGGGTCCTCTGTGCTGAATACAATGATGGTTTCTCATTTTGCCCTTGCCAGCTCTTATTCACTGAGAGGCATAGACCTTTTTGATATAATTCCAAGCTTTAAGTTTCTTAAGAAGCAAAACAGTCTCCTAAGCCTTCTTGTAGCCTTCAACTTTATCTTCAACCACCAAAGGAGGTTCTTTGGTGGTTCTTTCAGGAACGTCCTCAATACGGTGACTTTTAGACATGACCAGCGCTGGTAAGGCTGAGGCAGCCAGGGCAGAGCAGATGGCATATCACTCCTGTGTTGTGTTCACTCTGCAGTGCTAACAGTGCCACGTTTTGGTTGGTGCAAACATGTGGCCCCCGCGACACATATTTACAAAAGCACTCTGGCCAGAATGGTAAGTCTCACTGCCTCAAACTCTGGGAATTTGAACCACGGCTCTACCGGTACCCCAAGATTCAGCTGGTTTGATGCCGCTAATTCACTTACAGCATATGGCTGTTTGTTGTTTTTGTGCAAGTTAGTGTGAATAAAGTTCACAATATCAAGTCAATGGGAGATTTGAACACAGCAGGCAAAGTAACATTTTTGCCGGATGACTCCCCCTTTTCAGAGTACACTGATGTCAGTGGAGGAGCACACACCATCACATGGAGAGGACAGGGCCGTGCTCCTCTCAACCCCGTGGCTCCTATAGGAAAAAGATGAATGATCCTTTTAATGCATTATTGAATTTGGTGTGTTGATATTTTGTTGAGGATTTTTGCGTTTATGTTCATCAGAGATATTGGCCTGTAGTTTTATTTTACAGTATCTTTTTCTGGGTTTAGTATCAGGGTAATGCTGGTCTTATAGAATGAATTTGGAAGCTTCCCTACCTCTTCTATTTTTTGGCGTAGTTTGAGAAAATAAGTATTTACTCTTCTTTAATATTTGGTAGAATTCACACGTGAAGCCATTTTGGCCTGGACTTTTTTGTTTGCTGGGAGTTGTTTTTTTTTTATTATTACCAATTCAATTTTGTTACTAGTAATTAACATATTCTAATTTTCTGTTTCCTCTTGATTCAGTTTTGGAAGATTGTGTGTTTCTAGGAATATTTTTCTTGTAGGTTGTAGGTTGTCCAGTTTGTTGGCATATAATTTTCTATAGTAGTGTCTTACAATCTTTTGTATTTGTGTGGTACTGGTTGTTATTTCTCCTCTTTCATCTCTAGTTTTATTTGAGTCATCTCTTTTTTTTCTTGATGAGTCTGACTAAAAGTTTATCAGTTTCATTTATCTTTTCAAAGAACCAACTCTTGATTTCATTGATATTTCCTACTTTTTTTCAGTCTTGACTTAAGTTATCTCTGCTGGGATCTTTATTATTTCCTTCCATTTACTAGCCTTGGGCTTTGTTTGTTCTTCTTTTTCTAGTTCCTTTAAATGAAAATTAGATCATTTATTTCAGATTTTTATTTCTTTTTTTTTTTTTAAGATTTTATTTATTTATTTGACAGAGACACAGCGAGAGAGGGAACACAAGCAGGGGGACCAGGAGAGGGAGAAGCAGGCCTCCTGCCGAGCAGGGAACCCGATGCAGGGCTCGATCCCAGGACCCCGGGATCATGACCTGAGCCGAACAAAGGCAGACGCTTAACAACTGTGCCACCCAGGCACCCCTGAGATTTTTCTTATTTCTTGAAGTAGACCTGTATCACTATAAACTTCCCTCTTAGAACTGCTTTCACTATGTCCCGAAGATCTTGGACCATTGTGTTTTCGTTTTTGTTTGTCTCCATGTGTTTTTTTATTTCATTTTTTATTTCTTTGTTAACCCATTGGTTATTTAGTAGCACATTGTTTAGCCTCCATGTGTTTGTGGTTTTTCTGATTTTTTGTTTTTTAAGTAGATTCCATGCCCAGCATGGAGCCCAGTGCGGGGCCCAAACTTAAAACCCTGAGATAAAGACCTGAGCTGAGATCAAAAGTCGGACACTTAATCAACTGAGCCACCCAGGTGCCCCGGTTTTGTTTTTTAGTGTAGTTGAGGTCTAGTTTCCTACTGCTGTGGTCAGAAAAGATACTTGATATGATTTCAGTCTTCTTAAATTTATTGAGACTTTTTTGGTGGCCTGTCAATTTTTCCTCAAGAATGTTCCGTGTGCACTTGAAAAGAAAGTGTATTCTGCTGTTTTTTTGATAGAATATTCTGTATATACCTGTTAAGTCCTTCAGGTCTAATATGTCATTCGAAGGCACTGCTTCTGTATTGATTTTCTCTCTGCATGATCTATTTAATGTTGTAAGTGGGATGTTAAAATCCCCTACCATTAGTGTATTAATGTCAGTTTCTCTCTTTATGTCTGTTACTGGTTGCTTTATGTGTTTAGGTGCTCCTGTGTTGGTGCATAGATATTTACAATTGTTATATCTTCTTTTTGGATCTCTTTATCATTATGTAATGCTCTTCTTTGTCCATTGTTACAGTCTTTGTTTTAAAGTCTATTTCATCTGATACAAGTATTGCCATTATGGCTTTTCTTTCAACTTCCATTTTTGTGGAATATCTTTCTTCATCCCTTCACCTTCAGTCTGTATGTGTCTTTTTGTCCTCTTAACAAAGGCTTTTGCAGAGCAAAAGTTTTACATTTCATTGAAGTCTAATTTATAAGATTGTACTTTTATGGATTATGCTTTTGTTGTCAAGTCTAAGAACTTTTGCTTAGCTCTAGATCTGATAGATTTCCTCCACAGTTTTTTTTTCCTAAATGTTTTGTAGTTTTACATTTAAGTCCATGATTCATTTTGAGTTAGTTCTTGTATAAGAGGTGAGATTTAAATTGAGGTTCATTTACTTCTTTATGGATGCCCAATTGTATTATTTATTGAAAAGACCATCTTTCCTGCGCTGAATTGCTTTTTCACTTTCATCAGAAATCAGTTGGGCATATTTGTGTGGGGCTGTTTCTGGGTTCTGTGTTCTATTCCTTTGTTCTGTGCGTGTGCTTTTGCCAACACCACATAGTCTTGAGAACTGTAGGTATATAATAATTCTTGGAATCTAGTGAATTAACAATCCCTCTTTTATCTTCCTTTTCAAAATTGTTTTAGCTATCGCACTTTCTTTGCCTTCCCATATACATTTTAGAGTAATTTTGTCTACGTCTATAAAAACTCTTGCTGGGATTTTGATAGAAATTGTGTCAAATCTGAGCATCAGTTTGGGGAGATGTACTATGTTGAGTCTTCTAATCCATGAACATGGTATGCTTCTCCATGTGGTTTTCTTTTTTCCTTTCATCAGCACTGTATAGCTATTAGCATACATGTCCTATACATATTTTGTTAGATTTATACCTATTTCATTGTTTAAAAACAAACTATGAATGGCATTTTATTTTTATTCTCTATCCCCAACATGTTCACTGCTGGTATGTAGAAGCAAATTGATTTTTATATGTTCATCTTATATCCTGTGACCTTGATGAGGTCACTTACTAGTTCCAGGAGGTTTTTTTTGAGTATTTTTTTTCTAAATTCCTTGGGATTTTCTGTGTGGAAAATTATGTCTTCTGCAAATAGGGACAATTTTTTTCTTCCTTTCTAATTTGTATGCCTTTTATATCCATTTCTTTATTGCCCTGACTAGAACTTTCAGCACCATGTTGAATAAGAGTGGTGAGAGTGAGCAGACATCCTTGCCTTGTTCCTGATTTTAGGGGAAAGGCATTAATTACAAAGTATAATGTTGGTGTTGATCTTCTGTTGATGCTTTTTATCAAACTGAGGAAGCTCCTTCTCTCTTCCTATTTTTTTGAGTTTTTATTATGAATAGGTGTCAAATTTTCTCAGATGCTTTACTCTGCATCAATTGATATGACCGTGTGGTTTTTCTTTAGCCTATTAGTATAGTGGATTACACTAATTGATTTTTGAATATTAGTTTTATGTCCTTGGGACAAACCCCACTTGGTTATCTTACATAATTCTTTTTATATCTTGCTGAATTCTCTTTGTATTTTATATTTAAGTCCATGATCCATTTTAACTTAATTTTTATAAGTGATTTTGTATAGATAAAAGAACAGTCCTAAAAAAGCTTTCTTCTTAATAACATATTCAGGACTCATGTTCTCATGTTCTTCTTGAATTATGTGTCAGTAATCCAATGGTAAATTTTTCATTTATGTATCATAGGACACTTTCAAGCTGAAGGTCCCCGATTTCCTTATAAATATTTATTACATGGCCACTGTTCCTAACAGAATGAAGGGAACAAGATGCTAAAGAACTCACATCATAAAGAATACACAGTATACCTTTATCTTTCTTAATCTCTTTGCTGTAATTCTCTTGCTGTCCTCCTTTCCTACTTCTTACTGTGAACATTTATATATATTTAAACTGCATTTATTAGTTTGAGTAAATTAATATATTTATAGAATGAAGAAAGTCAACAGATCTTTACTGAGTTCTCATATAGGTCAAGCATTTTGCCAAGTAACTTTTGACTACATGGGACTCTAGCCTCAAGATGTTCAAAGCTTAAAGGAGAGGAAGGAATATAAACAGTTGAAATGCCAAAGTTGAGGGGAGAAATGCCAAAGAAAGCACAGTTTATTAAGGGAATATGAGACAGGAGCACCAGCTATACCTGGGGAAGTTAGTAAAGGCCTTCTAGGAGAAGTGATACAAGCTGGCACTGAGGGGACATTGGAATTTTCTAGATAGACAGAGTGAGATGAAAGTTATTCTAGGAAGATGCAGTAGCTTGTGCATGACATGAAGCCATGCAATTATGTGGCATATTTGGAGAATAATTTGTAATTTGTTATGTACCTGTAGTAAGTTCTGGGAGACTGGTAATTCATGCTGTATCCTCAGCATCTAGAATAATGCCTGCAGCATAGTAAGCACTAAACAAATATTTGTTGGATGGATGAATGGAAAGAAGGAAGGAAGGAGGCATAAATGAGGCCAGAGAGATAAGAGAGTTTCAGTAATAAAGACCCTTGCTTAGTAACATTTAGCAAATGTCTACCATAAAGATTTCTAGAAGAATAGGATATGTTCATAATCTACTTGGAAAGAAACAACAAATACCAAAAATATCTGTAATATGTAGTAGAAAATGACAGGTCATAAAAAGTACATAAAAAGTGTATGAAGGTTCAGAGGAAGTAGACGTCCATTTCAGCTAAGAGGATCAGAGAAGTTGTCATTGGAGCTAGACTTTTTGGAGTTGGTTATACTTGGTTCTCAGTTGTTTGATTTTTTTTTTTTAATGTGCATTGACTTGGAGAGAAAGTGGTGTGGCAGAAGAGGGATGTGAATTTGGGACTAGACTAGGCAGCCTCGCCTGCTCTGGCATAAATTTATCGGCATTTGATAAGCAGTCATTTGTCAGCCTGCACCACTTCCTTGGAAACAGAACCTGACAGGCTCCGATTTTATCTGTAGCAGACACCTTTTTCTTGTTTATGAGGGTGTGTCTGTGTGTGTTTATGCTTGCACCTGCACACCAGTGATTTGGAGACAGCTCTTTCTACAAAGACAAGCACTGAAGGGGACACATGAACTGAAACACAAGCTAAACTATTAACAATACATTTTTAAAATGTACCTTGCTACCCACACACTTGTATATGCATGCACCTGCTGCATGCACACACACACACACACACACACACACAAGCACACACAGAATTCTATAAGCAGTGGCCTGAGCAAGATTTTAGGTTACTGTAAATAGATAGTGCTTATTTTTTTAATTTTCTTCAGCTCTCTCCTATCTGTCTATACCTTTTCTTCATTTCAGTCTAAGGCTTATTAGGCACCAGTTATATCCCTGTAACCTACTAGATGCTGTGAGGAGTTCATTTAAGAAAATGATTACCCAATTAATTAATTCAATACATATTCATTGATAGCCAGCTATATGTCAGGCACTATTCTAAACACTGAAGATGCAGCATGGAATAAAAAGAACCAATCCTTGCCCTGGTGTTTACATTTTGGGAGGTAGATACAGACACTCAACAAAAATGTGGTATTTTAGGTGGTGTAAGTAGTTAGTAAGACCAGTATTGCAAAGTAGGGGGGAATGTTCCCCTCCCCCCCATAATGGGACATTTGAATAGAGACTTGAAGAGAAGATGTCTGGGGGCAGAGTATTCCGGGCAGACGGAACACCTAGAGCAAAGATCCTGAGGCAGAAGTATGTGACTAGTGTGTCGAGAGCAGAATGGCCAAGGCAGAGAGTGGCGGGAGATGGCGTAAAAGATGTAGCATGGGAGAGAGATGACCATCAAGTCAGACCTGTTGGCCATTTTGCAGACTTTGGTTTTTACTCTGAGATGGAAAGCCTCTGGGGACTTTGTGCAGCGAAGTGACATGATCTGATTTATATCAGCTTCCATGTTGAGCCTCGGTTGCAGGATGAAAGGGTGGAAGCAGGAAGACTCCAAAATAGTGGGCTAGACCAGTGAATAATAGTGGAGGTGCGAAAAGACCAGATTGTAGATGTATTTTGAACTGTTTGAACCCATAGGATTTGTTGTTGGATTAGATGTGGAATGTGAAAGGAGTCAATGATGACATCAGGAATTTGGTCTGAGCACCTGGAAGGCTGGAGTTACTGTTAACTGAGATGGGTAAGATTGCAGGAAGAACAGGCTTGGAGGATATGAAGAGTTTTGAGCACATTGGGTTTAAGATGCCTATTAGTGAAGAGTTGGATATAAGACTCTGGAGTTCAATAGATGGATCTGGGCTGGAGGAATACATTTGGGAGTTGCAGCAAGTAGATGGTTTTTAAAGCTGTGAAACTGAATAAAATAACCTAGGGAGTGGGTGTAGAGAGAGAAGAGAAAGGGTCTGAGAATTGAGTGTGGGAGCATTCCAATATTTAGAGGTCAGGGAGATGAGAAGGAACCAGCACTGGAGCCTGAAAAAGAGAGGCCAGAGGGATAGGGGAATTGAGGGTGAGTTCTGAAGCCAAGGGAAGAAGGTGCTTCAAAGAGGACAGAACAAACCAGTATCAGGTGCTGCTGAGAGAACAAGTAAAACCCAGAAGTTGCATTAGCAGCCTCGAAGTCTTTGAGACCTTTGTTGAGTTATGTCAGTGGTAGGAGTGGGGCAGCCTGATTAGATTGCATTCCAAAAAAGAATGGGAGGAGAGGAAACACAGATCCAGTAGTATAGAAAACTCTTTGAAGTTTTACTGTAAAATGGATCAGAAAACTGGGCCAGAGTTGGAGGGGGATATGGGAAGAAGTTGAGCTTTAAATTGTTTTTCCCAGGATGGGGGATGTTGGTGTCCTGATGGGAATGATCCTAGTGGGAAGGGAAAACGCAGTGCTTCCAGAGAACGGGAGAATGATAGAGTGGTGTTCCCTTGTAGGTGAGAAGGGGCGCACAAATGTAAGGACATTGGCTTTAGATCAGATGAACTGTGCATGCTCCCTAGTAACAGGCTACTTTGCTGCAGATGCTGCTGATGGATAAATTTGGTGCTGGAGCCTGTGTAAATTCTCTTAATTGCTTATATTTTCTCATGAAACAAAAAGAATGGGCATGCTGGAGATTTAAAGAGAGAGAAGTTCAGAGACTGTTGCCAAAGAGCAAGAGAAAATCATAGACTATGTAACCGTGGTAGGATTTTGGGGTGGCCTGGGGGCCCACTTGCAATACAGTAATCCAGTCCTTGGCATTTGTAGTGCTTCAGGGTTGTGTACCAGGTGCTCTAGGTACATTTGCATAATGAAAACCCTGCCAGGTAGGGAGGGCAGGTAGTGGTGATATTGATTCTCATTCTACGTACAAAGCAAGCTCCAAAGCAGTAAGTGACTTAACCTGCAGATCACACAGCAAGTCAGTGGTTAAACATAGACTCGACCCAAAGCTCCCTGTTACATGTAACATCTTTTTAACCGCTTGGTAGTGGTGTCTGCTCACAGATGACACAGTCTTGTTGAAGAGATGGAATGTAGAAGACAGCATAAGAAAATATGTAATCAACTGTTTAAATTCTATTGTATGGCATGATACAAGGAGTTTATTCAGTGATACACGTTGAGTGCTTAATATGTGCAAGGCCCAATTATAAGTACTCGGGCTATCACAGTGAGCAAGATAGTGAAAAAAATCCTAAAGTTCTGTGCTTTGGAGAAGTTTTAGAAGGCTTTCTATGTGACTCCTCCAAGGCATCATCATTTGGTAAAAAGCACAAGGTACTAAAAGTTAGGAACTTGTTTTTCTGTTCCTTGCTGTATGTGATATTGCTTCAACTCACCACGCCTTGCTGGGTTCCCCGTCCTTATACTGAGATGCTATGGTTTTGCAAGTTCCACCTGAATAAAAGTACTATGAGTTTGAGTCTGTATTCTAGCCTAGGGAATAATTGCTCAAAAATGTTTTAGTCTCCATCTAACTTCTTGATCTAAAAAATGGGATGCCACATCTCGTTTCATAGTGGTAAGACCCTGTTTCCACAGTGAAGTGTTGCACTAACATGCATTCTAAAATCATCCTTTAATTTTTAAACTCTAGGGACGTATGAAAGAGAGATAGGGGCCATGTTCAGCCTGCAGGTGCAACAGTCCCTGTCCTTAACCTAGTGATTTGTGAACACCCGTGAGAGGCTTTGAAATAACTAATGACTTTTTTCCCTTCTTCTTCCCCCTTCCTATTCAGGCCTGGAAGAAACGCTGGTTTATCCTGCGGAGCGGCCGGATGAGCGGTGACCCAGATGTTCTGGAATACTACAAGAATGATCACTCAAAGAAGCCCTTGAGGATCATCAACCTGAACTTCTGTGAGCAGGTGGATGCAGGCCTGACCTTCAACAAGAAGGAGCTGCAGGACAGTTTTGTGTTTGACATCAAGACCAGCGAGCGCACCTTTTATCTGGTGGCTGAGACAGAGGAGGACATGAATAAGTGGGTCCAGAGCATCTGCCAGATCTGTGGCTTCAATCAGGCCGAGGAGAGCACAGGTAGGAGAACAAACACGGACCTTTCTCCCAAGGGGCAAGGTGCTTCCTGGAGGGGGCTTAGCCCTTGGGGCTACAATGAAGGTCTTCGGATTCCTTGAGCAAGGACAGCAGACTGCAGCTAAAGGCTCTCCTCTCTGCAGAGGAGTAATAGGCAAAGAGTAAGAGTGTGAAGGGTTTGGCCAAATACCAGAGGGACCCCTGGCCCTGATGACATTCCGATGGGAACCTGAGATGTGTTGAGATTATGTTGAGCTAAGGTACTTTGTGGTGTTTCTTCAGGTACTTCAGCACCATCCCCTATGTCAGCCCTGCCCCTTTCCCCCCTTGCCTCCGATTCCTAGTGCTCTTACCTATCACTCATCCCATAGGGCAGCTCTCACCGGGATTCCTTCTCTGGTCCACCTCTGGCTGTTCTAGCCCATCTGTTTCAGACCATCCTGCACAGTTATACTTGCCACTGTTTTTTTCTTTTGGTTTGGGGTCCTCTGTGATTACTGTTGATGCATAATCCAGTGTTCTTTTATATTCACTTGGGAGGGGACAGGACAGAAAGGGGGAAATACTGATATATGTTTGGGTTTTGTTGACTTTCACAAAAGAGTAGCCTAACTTTTTATTTTTTCAGATTTATTTACTTGAGAGAGAGCAAGTGTAAGTGGGGGGAGGAGCAGAGGAAGAGGGAGAGAGAGCCCCAAGCAGATCTCCCGCCGAGCATGGAACCTGACATGGGGCTCTGGGGCTCGACATGGGGCTTGACGTGGGGCTTGATACAGGGCTCGTCACGGGGCTTGATCCGACCTGAGCCAAAACCAAGAGTCTGACGCTCAACCGACTGAGCCTCCCAGGAGCTCCGAGTAGCCCAACATTTTTCACTGGGTTTTAAGTTGCAGAAAAGCTCTTTGATATTTGTTTGCACTCATCCCCAACTTCGGAATGATTGAGAAACAGATTTTTTTCTGAGGCAGGTGGAGAACCTAAATCAGTAGTTCTTAAACCTGGTCGCATGACAGAATTAAAGAGGAGCATTTTTTAAATGTTGATGCCAAATTTTTAAAATGTCCATGCCAAATCAGTTCACTAGGAATCTCAGGGCTGGGACCTAAGCATGAGTGTCTTTTCACAACTTCATTCTGAGTGGCAAGGGTCTGAGGCACCCTTGCTTATTTTTTATGTCTGGGCAATATTACATCTGTAAAATTTTCTTTGTCCATTCATCCATTAGTGGATGCAGGTTGTTGGCATGTCTTAGCTATTGTAAGTCATGCTGCAATGCAATGAATGTGGAGGTGTAGATATCTCTCCAAGACAGTGATTTCAGTTCCTGTAGATATATACCCAGAGGTAGAATTGCTGGATCATATGGTAGTTCTATTCTTAATTTTCTGAAGAACCTCCATACCATTTTCCATACTGACTATACCAGTTACGTTCCTACCAGCAGTGCACAAGCGTTCCCTTTTCTCTGCATCCTCGCTAGCACTTACCTCTTATCTTTTTGATAACAGGTGTGAGGTGATCTCTCTTTGTGGTTTTGGTTTGATTTACATTTCCCTGATGGTTAATGATGTTGTACACCTTTTCAGGTAACTTGTCCATATGAAGATCTTCCCTGGAAAAATGTCTATTCAGATCCTATGACCATTTTTTAATTGGGTTATTTGTTCTTTTTGTTTTTGCTATTGAGTTGTAGGAATTCCTTATGTATTTTGGATATTAACCCCTTATCAGATATGTGGTTTGAAAAAACGTATTTTCTTCCATTTCTTTGGTTGCCTTTTCATCTTGTTACTTTTGTTGCGCAGAAGCTTTTTAGTTTAATGTAGTTCCAATTTTTTGTTTTTGTTTTTCTTATTTGTGCTTTTAGTGTCATATCCAAAAAAGTCATTGCCAAGACCAATGTCAAGGAATATATTTTCTCTGTTTTCTTTTAGGAGTTTTATGGTTTCAGGCAGGTCTCACATTTAAATCTTTAATCCAGTTTGAGTTAGTTTTTGTGAATGGTATAAGATAGGGCTCCAGTTTCCTTTTTTTTTTTTTTTTTGCATATGAATTCCCAGTTTTCCTAGCACCATTTTTTGGAAACACTATGTACTATCTTTTTCCCACTGAGTATGCTTAGTTCCCTTGTCAAATATTAGTTGACCATACATGTGAGGCTCTCTATTGTGTTCCATCAATCTGTGTATCTGTTTTTATGTCATACCATACTGTTTTGATTACTACAGCTTTGTAATATAGTTTGAAATCAGGAAGTATGATGCCTCCAACTTTGTTCTTCTTTCTCAGGATTGCTTTGGCTACTTGGAATCTTTTGTGGTTCCATATGAATTTTAGGATTGTTTTTTCTATTACTGTAAAAAGATGCCATTGGAATCTTGATTGGGATTTCCCTGAATCTGTAAATGGCTTTGGGTAGTGTGGACGTTTTAACAATGTTAATTCTTCCAATCCATAAACATGAGATATCTTTCTATTTATATGTATCAAAGTTCTTATATTCTGAACGGTTTGCATTTTCACTTTGCACCAGGCTCTCCAAATTATGTAGTCTGTTGTGCCTGAGCTAGATGTCCTGTCCTAGGAATTCTGTGATTTTCATCTTCCTTGCAGAAGGATCATGAGTCCCCATTTTACCCTGAAAAATCTTTGGTATAATCTTTGTTTCCTATATGGAATTTCCTGTTTTCCCCAAATCTTTGTCATTTAGAGGTGTCATGGATTTTTTGTTTGTTTGTTTTTCCCTTTCTTTTGTTCCTGATGAAGGAATAAAAAGCTCATTGCATGCGAAAAAGAAACAAACAAACAAGGAGGAGGAGAATAAAAAAGCAATCAAAAGAACAAGGGGGGATAAACCATAGACTGCTTCTCCCACCCCAGGCTCAAAGCTTTCATAAATGTGAGAGAGAGGTCCAAAGAATACCTCAGCTTTTTAGAAAATAGGTATGATTGGGAGATGGGGAGGAAGTAATCAGAAAGCAAATTGCTTTCGTTTTTAATTCCACTATAGTTAACATACAGTGTTATATTAGTTTCAGGCGTACAATATAGTGATCCAACAATTGTATACGTTACTCAGTGCTCATCATGATAAGTGTACTCTTAATCCCCATCACCTGTTTCACCCATCCCCCACTCACCTCTGGTGAGCATCAGTTTGTTCTCTATAGTTAAGAGTCTGTTTCTTAATTTGTATCTCTCTCTTTTTTCCTTTGCTCATTTGTTTACTAAATTCCACATGTAAGTGAAAGCGTATGGTATTTGTCTTTCTCTGACTTGTTTCGCTTAGCATTATGCCCTCTAGATCCATCCATGTTGTTACAAATGGCAAGATTTCATTCCATTATAATATATATGAATATATTTATATTTATTTTTATATATGGAATTATATGTTCCATATATATAATGGAGTCTTCATACACACACCACATCTTCTTTATCCATTCATCTATTGATGGACACATTGGGCTGCTTCCATAATTTGGCTATTGTAAATGATGCTGCTATAAACATAGGAGTGTATATATCCCTTTGTATTAGTGTTTTTGTATTTTGGCGGTAAATACCCAGTAGTGTGATTGCTGGATCCTAGGGTAATTCTATTTTTAACTTTTTGAGGAAACTCCAAACCGTTTTCCCCAGTGGCTGCACCAGTTTGCATTCCCACCAACAGTGCACAAGGTTTCCTTTTTCTCGACATCCTCACCAACACCTGTTGTTTCTTGTGTTTTTTATTTTAGCCATTCCGAGAGGTGTGAAGTGATATCTCATTGTGGTTTTGATTTGCATTTCCCTGATGAGTAGTGATGTTGAGCATCTTTTCATGTGTCTGTTGCCATCTGGATGTCTTCTTTGGAGAAATACATGTTCATGTCTCCTGCCCCTTCTTTAACCCATATTATTTGTTTTTGGGTGTTGAGTTGTGTCAGTTGCTTATGTATTTTGGATACTAACCCTTTATCAGATATATGCCATTTGCAAATATCTTCTCCTTTATCAGATATGCCTTTTGCAAGTATCTTCTCCCACTCAGTAGGTTGCCTTTAGTTTAGTTTTTTTTTTATTGCATCCTTTGCTGTGCAGAAGCATTTTATTTTGATGATGTCCCAGTACTTTATTTTTGCTTTTGTTTCCCTTGCCTTAGGAGACCAATCTAGAAAAAAGTTGCAACAGCCAATGTCAGAGGAATTACTGCCTGTGTTCTGTTCTAGGATTTTTATGGTTTTAGGTCTCATATTTAGGTCTTTAATTCATTTTGAGGTTATTTTTGTGTATGGTGTGAGAAAGTGGTCCAGTTTCACTCTTTTTGCATGTAACTGTCCAGTTTTCCCAGTACCATTTGTTGAAGAGATTGTATTTTTCCCATTGCATATTCTTTCTTCCTTTGTCAAAGATTAATTGACCATAGAATTGTGGGTTTATTTCTGGGTTTTTCTATTCTGTTCCATTGATTTATATGAGTAAATTGCTTTTACCAAGAGAAATATCCTTGAGATGTGACAAAAATTACTCTTGGTGCAAATATATTTTTTAATCACATATTTTTAAAGTAATTAATGTCTGAATCCTTACTTTTACCATAGAGGATTTAAGTACAGTTCAAATACAAATGTGTGGAACCACATTATCTGGGCTTGCTTTCTTTGGTAGGAAGATTCATTCACCCATGCATACATTGTTTATTCAACTACTCATCCAGCAAACCTTTATGTTACAACCACGGAGGTTACAAAGATGACCAGTAAGGTTCCAGTGCTCAGATATCATAGCCTAGTGGAAGGGACAGACCGCTAACCAGGCAGCCACAGGGGAGTGCTGGAATAGAGGCATCACCATGGCTGGAGACCCCAGCCCACACGCCACCAGCTCACTGAGAGAGGGGAGGTTGTCAGGGGGTGACAAATTCTTAAGGGGGTGACAAATAATCAAGTCCGTATTTTTTCACCAGCTTTGTCAATTAAAAAATATATTCCCTTAAACCTTTGACTTCTTTTTTTAAG